TTCTGAGTCTCCCACCTATCATGGCAATGAAAAGCATTGCCTTAACTAGTCAGTCAGTACTTCAGTTCTGCTTATTAAAAATTTCAGGCTGAGCTCTAAGTCACTATGTCTGGCTTGGTGACTGTCGCTGAATGCTTGGGGCAGCTATATTGATATTGTTTGAAATTGTGCCTAAGGGGCAGGCCCAGGGGCAGCCCTTTATGGGGTTTGTGAAAAAGAAAGAGACTGCCATCCTGCAGAGAGTTATGCATGGTATCCCAGTTTGTGTTCATGCAAGGGTAGTGACCTTGCTGGTCTCCTGTGCTTCTGCTTCCCTTGTTGCTGTCGTTTGCGCTCTCCTGACCCCCAGGAGCATCTTGGTGCACATCCATGGTGGCCCGTGGCCCAGGCACTGATGGGAAAAAAAAAAAAAAGGGTGGGGAGAGGAAGGAGCATTTGGTACTCAAGTGATCTGCCAATGCAAAACCCACATCCAATGTGCCAGGATTCTGCCTTGCTGCCTACTAGCATACCAATGGGCTAATCTTGCAATCATGGGCCTGATATCCCTCATCCAAGTCACAAATGACTTTACCTAATGTGGGCCACAACTCCACAACCTGGTAGACGCAACCATTTACAAGGCAGGGTCACCAAGCTCCTGAACATTTCCCCATAACCACCCAGAAGGTCTGCATCGTGGGTAATTGTACAGAGACAGAAACTGAAAGCTGCAACTTTACCTTGTTAGAAACCCCAAATAATCTTAGGAAATTTATACAGAGAGAGAAAAAAAAAAAAAAAAACAGAACAGAAAGTCCATGTGACAGAAAAGGTAGAGTGGTGACAGAGGATGGTTTGATGCATCAAGGTCAGCTTAGAGGCCTGGCATTCTTCCCCAGCAGGACTCTACTGACTATGTCTCTACTGCACCAAAAATCCTAATCCTGAGGGTTATAGGAAACACCCTGGGCACCCTTGTGGCACCTTGAAAGGGTTCATTCAAATGTGATTTAAGTTCAAGGTCTTTAAGCCATGTAATTCAACCATTTCCAGGGAAAAGACCCCTAGCCTTGATGATACCGGTTAGAGGCTTTTTCAAGGAAAAAACTTAGTATGATCATGGTAGAAAAGAACACCCCCCACCACCACCACCACCATCACCAATTGTGTCCAATGACACCACTACCCAAAACAAACAAATAATAAATAAACAAGAAAGAAAAAAAAATCCCAGACACAGAAAGCAAACAAACAGAAAATAAAGGTCCACTGGAAATCTAAAATGTACCAAAAGAATTTTTTTTTAAATAAAAGAACTTTTATAACTCTACAATATGGGTTCTGAATTAACTTTAATATCTACTGATGCACCAATTGACACACTTTCCTGGTTTTAACCAATATTAAGTCTCATATTACAGTTATACACGGGGACCCTACTAAATTCAAACATGATATCTCCCACAATCTTAGAGGAGTGACTGAATGTGAAATAGAGAACAAATATATATGCCTCCCCTTAATCACCAGAACTATTGTCTTGCCTAAATTCAACACAGTAATAGAACTCACTGCCCTAAAATAGATGCTTTAACACAGTGAATAATAAATGAAAATTAAATTAGGTCTTTGACACTTACAAATTGGTTTGACAAAATGAGAACCCATAATTCCCACCCCCTAACCCCAAGTTAAAATAATTAACATGGCTCAATGTAATTTAAAACAGGGTCTTCAAGTTATAACATTTATTATATAACAGCTAATGAGTAAAGAGGTGATTATTCCCACTGCTTCTTCATTTAACAGCCCAGTATGGCCTATTCTTACATGGAAAATAAATGAATGGTGACCTGTGATAGATTGCTGCAACCTTAGTGCAAGCTCTTGTCCTATTAAGGCTCTTACACCCAACATTCTAATCATTGAAATTGCCGACTTCGTCCAATCAGCAATTGATAAATATTTTGCTGCTATAAATTTGGCTAATATGATCTACTCAGTTGCTGATTTCTACAGCCTCACAGTCATAGGATCTCTTTACCTCTGAAAACATAACTCACCTTTACCAGGCTACCCACAAGATACCTAAGCAGCCTTGTCATTGCACACAATCTTTAGAGGCAAGATCTTAACTACCTCCACTTCTTTCCAAGAGCACAGGTATTATCATATATTGACTACATTCTCTTACAAAGAGATTTATTTGATACATTCATTAAGAACATATAACTACTCACAAAGAAGCTCACAAAAAGGGGATGGATCATTGTCTCACACAAAGTACAAGACTCTCAGCACCCACAAGCTTAACACGGTCTGACATTTTTAGTCCATTTGGGGTTCTGGAGGAAACACATTCATTTGCAAATTTTATTTCATCTCACTAATGCTCTTACTTAAAAATTGGCCCATGTTGAACAAGACCCCCTTCAAAAAGAGTCTAAGCTCTTTTCAGACTGAAATCAACAAACATTCCAATCAGTGTCTTCAGGGGCTGTGGCAACCTCTCCTCATTAAGTGGTCCATGGCTTTTTCTAAAGCATGGAACTGCCTTTTCAAGTCTTGCACCATTATAGCAGTAATTACTGGGTACATCTTGGGCTCTTCTGGGAATAGAGGGTGGGTTTCACAGACTTTGAGCTTGTGACCCTCTGTAGTCACCTATCCATTATGTCTTGGGTCATTGAAACAGTATACCAATGAGCTTGGCAGGACTACTAAGACCTATTTGTTACAGGACGGAGGATCTTCTGTCACAATCTGCATGCAAAGAAAGGTGTCCTCATCTATCCTCAGCCCTCTGCCAGCTACTACAGTGCTGGAGGAAGTCACCCCTTTCCCAGAATCCTTGGCTACCAGGAGGAGCCCCTTAGGATCAACTGAGTAAAAATCGACAACAGTTAATACATTTCATTGAGGAAATTGCCATCTTAACCACCAAGTCCCCACTAAAGGACTGGACTCAAAGGACCACACAATTACTACACTTCAGGCAGTCATCTCAGTACCAAAGGCCCTAGCTAGTTCACTATCTGTACATTTTTTATAAACTCTTAGGCCACCACCTGAGAGGTTCCCTTTAGGATAAAGAATTTGGGGAATTTCTTGCTTAACAGATACTCAAAAGCTAAATCAAGTTAATGTATTATGTATACTAAGACCATGCCAGAAAACCTCAACAGATATTCGTTATCCCTCATGAAGTACTAGACATTAATAATAGTGTCCATGCCGCTCACTTCTCTCCTCAGATTACACAATGCAAGATCTTGAAGGCATTCAATAGAAACTCAACTTTTGCTAAGAGACTCAGGTAGATAGCCCCAGGATGCCGGTTTAATGGACTTTTCAAAGAACTCATATTTAAGTCACAAAGTGGCAAGATCCTCTGTCCCCCTGGGTGTCACTACTGCCGCAGACATTGATTAGTCAATTTGCACGCCAGGGTGACACCCACTCTGCATATTAATGTTACACAGGTCTCTCAATTGCCTTCATTAGTTATACTCAGGAACGTCTTTAACTTTTTTTTTTTTTTTTTTTTTTAACTCAGGATGTAGTCCTCTTCCTCCTAGTCAGAGGTCAGAGTCTTCTTCATCTCTCCTGAACCCCTCTGAGGACCTGAGAACTCCATAACTGTGAGATGGTCCATCTGCTTAGGCATTTCTATTTACCATTGCTTCTCTACCTTTATTTTTTTTTCCATCTAGGGCATGTGCACTCATGCAGATAAACAGAAGGAAAGAGAAGGAAAAATTAGAAATCACCCACTAGGGGGATGACATTATCCCTTCCCCACCACTCTCCTTTTGATATTTTGGGCCCACACACACATACCCAGTGTGTTTTTTAAACTCCAAGGCCAGGAGTTGAAACACGTAGTTAGCCATATGAGATCCAATCCCCTTAATCACCATGTCTTGGGTTGGCCCACTTTTCTACCCTTCTAAGGTCTTACTACCTATGAAGTTTCTTTAAGCTGTTCAATGTTTCTATGTGAATTAAGGCATAGGCCTCTCAACACTTGGATTTCCACTAAAATTTCTAATGCTCGATCTCCTTTTCATTCATCCTAGGGAGCTAGAATCCTGGGCACCTTCATAGAGACTTAGACAATGGCTAGGGTCTGGTCATGTCTTGCATTCTCCCTCCAGCTATTCAATGATTCATTTCTCTCCCAAGAAACATAAAAATGAACACTTATGTCATTATATACTTTTCCCAAAAAGGTTGTTCTTAGTTCTCCAGTCTCAGATAACTCAAAAAGTCTTTTTATTTTTTCCCCAAAAGTCAAGCTATTGTCAGAAATATATCTGACTTTCAAGAATATGGTTCTTCACATTTTAAAAAACTTATGTGATGTTTTTTCTCAAGTATGTTTATCATTCCTCTGTGAATGGTGTCTATAGAAAGCACTAAAGGAAGTTTAAAGAAGAAAAGAAATCTCAGCTGATAATTTAAAATGTTATCAGTCATATATATTTAGAAAAACTACTCTTAATTGAGCCCTTAGCTAGGCAGTTGCTTTAAATATATCATATATTATATTTATATACATTATTATATTTAATCCTTACCACAAATTTGAGAGAGAGAAAATTTACCCATAATTTGAATGAAAGCACTGAAATTTAGTCATTCAGATATTAAGAAACTTGCCCTAAGTTAGGATTTAAGCCCTGTTACGTGTGATGCCAAAACATAAGTTTTTATCATTTCATTATATTGCTTCCCTTCTAGAGCTGTAGACCATTATAAACTTAGAAGAGATTAGAATAAAATGAATGCGTCAACTTATAAAGTTATAAAGAAATCACCTAAAACACACTTAGTATAGCAATCTAACATATGCATCAATCACTTCAACAAAAATATTTTCTTTCCTTGATTCATATATTCTCATGGTATTTCACCATTCCCAAATATCAGCCAAAAAACTTATATTAAAAACTTTAATTCTCTTTTGAATCTTAAAAATGAAGGTCATATGACTGAAATAATATGCATGATTTTGATTAAAATTTAGTTCTTGTTTTCTACATATTTCATTAACTATTGAATAATATATACACAGCATCTATACATATGTATATGCTGTAAATACACTATAAACATACATATACATCTTATGCATGTATGTGTGTATATAAATATGTGTATGTACATATATATATATACACACATATACACACGTATACATATAAAAATGTTAATATACATTCAAATGCCTTAAAATTATTTCACAGAACATAGTGGAAGCAATTATCTATTATAGTATAATCTTTTCTATATTTTAATTATTCTGGGGTTTTGTGTGTGTGTGTGTTATATTAGTTTCATCTTCCAGTTTCTCTTCTATGTCACGATTTGGCAGAATTCATAAAAAATAGTAAAAAATCGATATGA